TCAAAATGTTTCGTCGCAATGCGTCGAACGTCGATGTCCGATCTCCGGAGGAGAGGGCCCTGGTCCGGCGCCTTGACATCTTCCTGATGACTTTCGGTTGTATTTCACAGGGTGCGTTGGCTACCCCCCTAGCGGCTTGAAATCAGCGAAACTGACAGAAGTCAGTTATCAAATATCTCGACCAACAGAATATCAACAATGCCTACGTATCTGGCATGAAGGAGGATCTAAACTTGTTCGGAAATGAGCTTAATCTGTGAGTTTTCCGAAACATTTACATACCGCAGAGTTGATGATAGCTAATACTGTCTAGATTCACAACATATTTCAACGCCGCCTACTGCGTAATGCTGATTCCCTCCCAAATCATCCTCACCTACGTACGCCCAAGTTATTGGCTTCCGGGTTTGGAGATCGCATGGGGTGTTCTGACCGGATTGATCGCAATGACGACGAACGCGAAACAAGTCTACGCTCTCCGTGTTTTCCTCGGTTTATGCGAAAGTAGCGCGTGGCCAGGAATGATGACATTATTCAGTATGTCATTCGAAAAGCCCTTCCTTGACCCGAATTAACCAACCCTCCAGTGTACTGGTATACCCCAACCGAACTGGCCAAGCGAATGGGATTCTACCACTCCTGCCAAGCTGTCGGCCAAATGCTCTCGGGCGCCATGCAAGCCGCCATCACCGACACTCTCGACGGGCGTAACGGCCTAGCAGGATGGCGCTGGCTATTCGTGATCAACGCAATCATCACGGTAATCTGGGGATTCGCAGGATTCGTCATGCTCCCCGATCTACCGAACCGACCTAACCCGCGCGCATTCTGGTTCAAAAAGGTCCATGGCGAGCTTTCGCTAGAACGGCTCGCGCGCAACGGCCGCGCCGAGCCAAAGAAGATGACCTGGGCGGGTGTGAAACGCACGTTCTCCGGATGGGTTGTTTACTTCATTGCGATTCTGTATATCGCGACGGTTCTTGGAACATACGGATATGTCTATTTCGGGCTGTTTCTGAAATCGCTGAAGAACCCAGACGGCAGCGCGAGATGGACTGTCTCGCAGGTCAACGCTATCCCCATTGGAGGATCTGCCATCAACGTTGTTTTCGTGTGGATCTGGGCTCTGTTATCTGATTACTTTGAGACGCGTTGGACACTCATTGTTCTTCAGGCCGTTATTGGTATCGTCCCGTGTATCATCATGAGTGTTTGGACTACACACCCGCTGTCGGTGGATTTATCTGCTGCTTATGCATCCTACTTCATCTCCTATATTTGTCTTGGCACGGCGCCGTTGATCTTCGCTTGGCTCTCTGATCTTATTCCGCAGGATCCGGAGGCTCGGTCTCTTGTTGTCGGTGTTGCTGTTGCTGGGTACTATGCCATCTCTTCGTGGTCGCAGGTTCTCGTCTGGCCTGCTAGCCAAGCACCATTTTATAAGTATGGGTGGCAGTCTGCATTGGCCTTGTTGGTTCTTGTGATTATTATGACGAGCATTTTGAGATTTGTGGATGTGCAGTACCTCCTACCAAAGCGTGAGGAATTCCGCGCTGCATTGGAAGAAGATATCGTTGCGAGTAAAGGGGCTGGTCCGTCAGTGTCTGCAGATCAGATCGAAGGTCGGCGTCGGATAGATGGAAGCTCGAAGGTGTCGCCCGCATCGAATGTGCATGAAGTTTAGCCATCGGGGCTCTAATTGAGTGTATGTTGATGTTGATTTGCTTCGTCCTCTTGGTGATATTGCACCCTAGTTTTCCATTTGATCTACTTCGATACCCAGTGACCTATCCTTATAAGATTAAATTAAATTCCTTTTACCCATCAGGCAAAGCTCAGTGAATTTCCACCGATAGGAACTAAGATACAGCCGTAGTATATCTACAGTAAGATCCATGACCCGAAGGCACATGTCAAGCCCGAAGAATAAATGAATATGTCCCCTTCCTCATCATCTTCCATTCCACATTCGCCGTATCCTACTACTGTGTTACCAGTGGAGATAAATTAGTAGTAGAGAGGATTCTCAGGATCAGTAAGATCAAAGATCACACTGGAGTGAGGTTTAGCACCACCACGATTGGCGAACTCCTTGGGGAAGTCAATAGTACGGTTGAAAGAAAGGCTGCCATCTTTGTTGAGATCGATGTAGAGCGCCTTGAAATCAGCGGGGGTGTTAATGATACCGATGTCGCCAGTCTGGACGAAGTAGTCGGTGACGACCAAGTGCTTCTGGTCAGGCGTGACCTTGACATAGTGAGGTCCGACGGTAGGCTGGTCCTCATCGGGGTCATCCAAGCGCTTGATACTGTCGAGGTCGCTGATGTCTAGCGCAGCAATATGGTTGGCTGTGGTAAGGGTCGCGTAGAAGTATTTACCGTCTTGGCTGATGTCGGAGCTGTTGTGGGACGTCGTTAGCAATGATGTTCTTTTGGAGTACACAGCAAATAACTTACTAGATAGCAATTGTGTCACGGGCCTTGGGACCGAGATCGTAGAGTAGCTCAATCACACCCTGGTTGCCATTGGCATCCTTTCGCAGAGGGTAAATGACCCAAAGCTGACCCAGGTGTACGGCAGTGGCGATAGCAGCGGATTCTGGGTGTCCAGGGATGAACTTGACATCTTGGATACCACCACCCTGATTTGAGTTAGAACCTGCAGGCTAATTAAACATCACGGGTTGGCTTACATTAGGAATGGTAAGTGTGCTGAGAATCTTTCTAGAGTCCAGATCCCAGAGACGCAGTGTATCGGCATGGCGCACTCCAAGACTGGGCTTCAAGATAGAAATCGGCTCCACGAAGTCCGAAGTTAGAATAAGCTTTTTCTCCCAATCGATACTAAGTCCGTGAGGGGAGAACTGCTGCTCAAGAATGTTGAGGGTGCCCTCCACATCCTCGGGCCATTCGTGAATGATGTTAAAATCGGCATCAGTCTCAACTAGACGACCGGGAGAAGTACCAACGGCCGAGCCCATGTATGTGATGAAAAATCCCCCATCTGGCTTGGCCCGGACCTCATCCGCAATGGATGAAAGGATACCGCGGTTACTCTTCAGGAACTTGGGACGGTAAGGGTTGGAGGTGTCGAAGTAGAAGCCAGTATCCTAATGAAGGGTTAGATCTGCTATGGAAAGCGCATTGAAAAGGTTATACATACTTGAGTTTTCAAGAGAGATAGCAACCCACCACCCCAGATGGTCTTTCCATCCAACGACGGTCCCAGGTGGTGGGGGTCATTGCCGCTGCTGGGTACATCTGTTACCCATAAAAGGGTTCCAAAAGTGTCCTAAAATCGAATTAGCAAATAGATTCATGCCAGTCTTTACCGGCTGAGGATTGGCCTACATCATCCAAACTGTAGGTGGCAAGGAAGTCTGCCAATGATAATTAGCATCATCTCCTCTCGGAAATTCACCACTCGTAGATCCCTACCTTTATGGAACTTGTCTGCCGAGCCAGTCCAGAAGTAACCAATCTTCTTCGGCTTGATATCACTCGGCGTGAAGGGAGGGCTCTCCAGTGGAGGAGTAGGGACTTGCAAAATCGGCAAAGGAGGAGCGTTGGTCGTCAAAGGCTCGGTCACTCCAGGAATGCTGGGAATAAGAGGAGGCAAAGAAAGGCAATCCCCGAGGGCAACCAAAGACGCAATAGAAGCAATAGAGTACTTCATCTTGTTGGTGAGAAAGATTGAGTAGGATTGCGTTTGTTTGATGAGCATATTTGCGGGAGATCTCGAGAGCTTATATACCCGAGTGCGCTTTCATCTAGTCCCGGATACGGCCTCCTCTTGCACTTCCTCCAAGCTATCCTAACAGCAACAATATAGAGCACGCAAGAAAGTTACATTTTGGTTTGATGCGATATCCGAATTCCTCGAGGAGAGGGTGATCTGCGAAATGGCGAATTTCATCTCTCAACGCCGACATGGGAATCCAGACAATCCCCGACTCGGGATCTGATGCTGGACCAGTTGCCCCCATATCTGTATTCACGCCTTTTCTCCAAAGTTAAATCTTGGAGATTCTTCCTAATCTTGAGGAGATGTCGTGATTGAAATGAATCCAAACTCGAGAGAGAGGGATTACAAGTTTCGTTAAATCAATAGTTCGAACTCAAAAATCGTCTTAGCAAGAGCTAGTTTATACCGACACTTATCCTCGGCCAGGCTATCAACGCCACTGATATGTTGTGGACGAACGGGTGTTGGAACTAGGGCTAAGGGAACCCATAGTTCCCGGGATAGGAAAGGTCCAAGAACCGCCCTCGGAGATCGCTATATCTCGCATCCAACAATTCAGCCCCCAAACAAGGCACGGAAGTGAGGTCCGGAGGTCAAAGCATAGTTCAAGTGTTGTTTTACGAGCGAACTAGCAACAAAGAGGTGAAAGTAGAGGAATGATCCGCGCATGCCAAGAAATGTAAGATCTATGTACTCATCGAAGGTACCGATGAGGTGATACAGGGTCGGACTTCAACCTCAACTTTTTCTAAATCCCGAGGACAACAAATTACCGAGAAGACCTGTCAGGTCCCTGGATGGACGTTTTCACTTTCCTCGTGGAGACGATGAGCACGGGTGAGCCTGCACTGATTTCGACATGATGCCAAGAATGTTGTTATACCTCGCCATGCTTAGCTTTGTCCTAGTACATTTCGATCCAATATCGCTCCAGGATGGCTTCTTTTACGATATCTTCCGCGAGAGGCGAGATGGATAGATCTTCCTGAATGGCATCATCTCTTGTGATTCTGTTTATACTTTCTCCTAACTCGGTGTGTCCTGGTCAATTCCAATAGGATCAACACCATGAAGCCGAGAGACTAGGGAGCGGCACATTGGAACTAGCTGATTCCTCAGGTCTATTCCTCTCGGAATTTGGAGGTGGTGGGTTGGTGTGGAAATGTCATATATAACGGGGATAACTCCAGGCTTCTTGCCTTGAGGCACCCAAGTCCAAATCCCATTCCTGTGCACATTCCTTTCCTTCATTCAAAATGAAGTCCCAAAGCCTCGTTCTCTTTGGACTATTGGTTTCCTCTGCCTTTGCAGTGCCTCGGACTAAAAGGCAGGATGGTGGCAATGACCAGCCGATTAGCGGTGCCAAAGGAGCCCCGATTCTAGGTAAGCTTAAAATTCCGGGAGCTTCCAAGTTGGGAGATCTCTCCGTGGGTGCCAGCCGATTTCATGCATACTTACAGCTCTATACAATAGGTGGAACAAACAAAGCTCTCGACCTTCAAAACCCAGACCAATTCCGTACTGCCAGCACCGATAATGGCTTTGTGCCCAATGTCAAGTGGAGTTTCTCTGAGTCTCAGACTCGACTGTTCCCAGGTGGCTGGTCTCGGGAGCAAGTTATTCAGGACTTGCCTCAGAGCCATGACATTGCAGGCGCCCAGCAACACCTGAAGAAGGGCGCTATCCGGGAGCTGCACTGGCACCGCACGGTTAGTGGCTGCAGATATACACTTTTTATGACATATCACTCACTCTAATATCCAGGCCGAGTGGGGATTTGTATACAATGGCTCCCTCCTTTTGTCCGGTGTTGATGAAAACGGTGGATTCACTACGGAGGTTCTTGAAACGGGTGATATATGGTATTTCCCAAAGGGTGTAGCGCATAATGTCCAGGGTCTGGACGATGAGAACGAGTACCTTCTCGCTTTTGATGATGGTGACTTTGAGAAGATTGGGTATGTTCCATTCACATATTTACTTGGAAACTCAACATACTGACTAAGGAGAACTACCTTCATGGTCGACGACTGGATCGCCCATACCCCCAGAGATATTCTCGCCAAAAACTTTGGTGTGGACCCTAAGGTCTTCGACTCGGTCCCTTCAAAGTTCCCTTATATTCTCAACGGCACTGTTAGCAAAGACCTTGACAAGGCTCCTCTGGGTACGCTGAGAGGTGATGATTCCTACGTCTACCACACCTACAAACACCCCTCTGAGCCCGTCCCGGGTCACGGTGGGACATTCCGCAAGATCGATTCCACCAACTTCCCCATTTCCAAGACTCTTGCTGCTGCGATTGTGGAACTGGAGCCCAAGGGTCTGCGTGAGCTCCACTGGCATCCCAATGTAAGTTTACAAACAACTGCCTGAAAGGAGAAAACCTACGCTGACCACCATCTAGGCTGAGGAATGGCTCTACTTCCACCAGGGCCATGCTCGTGCCACTGTCTTTATTGGTGACTCCAAGGCTCGCACCTTTGATTTCCAAGCGGGTGACACCGCTGCTTTCCCTGACAATAGTGGTTAGTATACTTCTTCCAAGACCGAAAAAAATGCTAACCCTTAATTAAAGGACACTACATCGAGAACACCTCCGAGACAGAGAAACTTGTTTGGATTGAGCTCTACAAAAGCGACCGCGTCGCTGATATCTCCCTGGCTCAGTGGCTAGCATTGACTCCTGCTGACACTGTTGCCAACGTCTTGAAGGTCGATATCGAAGTGGTCAAGCAGATTAAGAAGCAGAAACAAATTCTTGTTCAGGGCAAGAAATAATCTGTCCTCGTCGTATTGTCGCTGTGACGTGGGCGGGTAGCCTACATAGCAGGACTTTTGCCCTTGAGCTGAATACGCTGAACTATATGCTTGTTTTTCATCCTATGTTTCTCCAGGATTTCGACATTAGACTTCGAACCTAATTTAGCAATACATGACACCCGCCAAAGAAGATAGCCCGTCTTATCAACAAACTGCAGTCTAGCACGTATTCTAAGTAATTTCCAATCGGATGTGCTGACATTCATATCCCAGCATCACATTTACGATGCTCTGTGCGAGACAATCAGTCCACAGATCGAGGGCCAACTTGCCAGAACAGGCATGAGGGTCTATCACGTTCTATCATGACCTGCTACAAAAGGCCAAAGGCATACAAGAATAATAAGAAAAATAAAGCCCGAATAGGCTAGGAGATGCAAAATGCCAGAATTGATTCGATATCCAACTCCGGTAATGCGCTGATGCTGTGCAAACACGAAAAACCAAGCGTGGCCAATTCCAACTCGAGGAACAAAACTCCACACGACGCCAATAATGCTCAAATCACACGCGCTCCTGCGTGATTGAAAAAGAAATCTCAGAAAAGAATAGAAAAAGAATATAGCCTAATTTTTGATCGCCTTCCTCCGCAATACACCAAGATGCTCCAGTCTGTCCCACGCTTTGTTCATATCGGAGCATTCGTCGCCCAATGAGGGCCGAAGGTCTAGTCCGTCGAGGGTGTGGAGAGAGCCACTCGTGCCGGCGTAGAGCAAGAGTTCTAGCACTCTGCGGCGTAGACGTGTAGCTTGATCGAGATGCCTTAAGTACTTCACATCCGCTTGCGAGTCGGCAAGCGGAAGTGTGTATGGGTCGTCTACTTCGATGTCTCTGTCTGTCTTCTGCTCATCACCCATGGTGGCGCGGTGAGAGATCTGGTCGTCGTTTCCGAGCTCAGCTAGGGCATCAGAAAGATCCCGGTGGGTTCCTTGGTGCCGGACGACTACTTCTTCAGGAGGCTTCAATTTATTGCGATCGGCATTGCCACTCCCAGTCACTGCTGGGGGGTAGAAGCCAATAGTCAACGGGTTCCCACGGAGATCAAGCTTGCGTAAGGAACACGCAGTTCCTTTCCCGGTTTTCCCTAGCCGACTGAGAATCTGGCAGACCCTTCTCATCCTTGAGAGACGGTTGCCGACGATCATCAGTCTGGCAAGGCAGTTCATCCCAACCAGTGGCTCAACATCGTCAACCGAGTTAAAATTCAGATTTAGGACCTTGAGATTCGGGAAGCTCAAAGCAAAATCACTCGGGAGACTTTTCAATGTGCACGCAGCTAAGTCAAGAAGTTGAAGTCGTAATAGCGGAGCAGAGGGGCAGACACTTTGGTGGGAAAGCTTGTTTGAGGACAAAAAGACTTTGCGGACATCCTTGACAAGTCCCAAATCAATATCCAGCCTGTGTTCAAGGTCCTTTCCTTTGGACGGTGTCTGCTCTCGGAGAGACAGTACCTCGAGATTGTGACAATTCTCAAGGCCAATAACGGTAGAAATATGGTTTTGATCGAGGTAGAGAAGGCTCACAGAAGGGAAAGCTCGTGCATCTAAAGCCTCCAATTTGTTCTCAGAGAGTTTCAGGGCACGGAGACTGATAAGGGAAGCGGAGGAGTCAAAACGGCTGATCTGGTTGGAGCTGACATCAAGAGTGGCAAGTGACGGAAGCCATTCGACATTTCGAACAGATGTCAGACAGTTGTGGCTCAAGTCAAGATCACGAAGGCGTGTCAACTCGGACCCTTCAAAATCCACTGCAGTAATAGAGTTGTTGCTCAGCTTTAAGCTTAGCAAGCCATTTAGATCAAGAATCCCGTCTATGTTACGGATCTGGTTGTCATTGGCCTTCAATTCTCTGAGATGAATCAAGCTCGCGAAGCCATCCAGTGTCTCGATATCGTTTCCTGAGACGTCCAAGTATTGCAAATTGACCATGTGACCCCAGGGAGTCAGGTTAGAGAGGCAGTTTCTACGGATCTTGAGGGTTCGCAGGGTGGATGGAATGCCACTCAATTGACCAATGTCGTTATCGGAAACATCCAACTCCTCGAGTCGGGGGCAGAATTCGTTCAGCTTGTGTAGCGTAATCAATCCCTTCTGGCGCAAGACAAGGCGGCGCACGTGTTCCCAATACGGCTCATACGGTTCCACGTCAGTAATATGCTTGATCAAATCTTCAGTTGCCAGTGCGAACGTTCCGTGCACTTGTCGCAAAGAGGAAGGGTTTGTACGTTGAGCCACGTAGCTCATTTCAAGGTTCAGTGGTTTATCGCCTTGGTTTACTGTAAAGTCCGCAAGTGGACTGAGGTGGAAGCTGTAGCTCGTGTCGGGCCCGGCGCTCTGGATAGGCATCAAAGAATGCTCTGGCTCGTTTTTGACAGGCGTCTCATGAACATGAAGTGAGTCATTCCTGCGGATGAGGCTTTGGTCATCAATAGTCTCCTCATTCCTCTCCTCAATCCTCGAGATGGGGCGTCGAATGAACGGTTGTCCACCGACTGAAGTTTGACGCCCCGTGGGAGGAGCGGATGACCGTATTGAGCCAATTTCGTGGTCTACTGGGGATGTACCTTCGTCTGAGACAATCCCATGGTAGGTGTGGTTCGCGTTCGGGTTGGACTGGGCGTTATCAGGCTCACCCCGAGAAGAGGGGCGCGAAACAAGGGGCGATGAGAGATTCACCGTCGCGACACGTGCTTGTTTTCCGAGAGATCGGGGTGTCTTTGAAGACGACGGCTCCTCGCGCTGGGCTCCAAGTTTTTTTTGCTCGGAAATTTTCCTTTCTGCGGCCTCGTCCGTGCCCCATGATGTAGCTCTCGTCCCAGTGTTAGGAACACTGGACGTGAAGCGAGTGAATCTTGATTGAACCGAGCTTGCTCCGAGTGATGGTTCTCCATCTCTCGTATGTGGTCGAACATCAGGTTTCTTCGAGGACTCGTTCGTAGCCAAAGGACTGCGGGCCTTAATTTGCTCTCGATCAGATACAACGTCGCTCTTTGTGGGAGAACTGAGGCCATGGACTCGCATCATCTCCTGGAGCTCGTCTACACTAAGATCTGGAATATCCTTGAATGGATCATCAGTCTCCTCGGGGGGTTGTGAGATTGGCGCCTGTGGTTCTTCCACCTCATCCTTAACCCATTGATTCTTCGAACGGTCATACTTGAAGCCATTGACCTCATTCGGGATCAGGTGGGCTACAAGGTCAGAAGCCAGCATACCCTTGACTTGGGAGCTTTGTGAAGAGCCCGTGGGTAAGGAGTTGACGCTGAAGCCAGACATTTGTGTGTTGATAGTCATCAGATCCTGGGCGATGTTTTCCGCCGTGTCGTCAGTCATGCCACTAGTCTTCCGTTTCCTCGGTCCGTTAATTCGGATATTCTGTGAGTTTGATTCAACGAGCTCAGTTTGGCCCTCATCCTGGCTATGACGAGCATGCAGGGACATTTCGCGGTCATTCGGATCATCTTGCTCCTGGTATTTTTTCAGGTGACTCAAGATCTGTGGATTCAACTCCTTCACCTCTCTCAGCTTGCGAAGATCCGTTCCATCGCGGCTTGGAGGGCGAGAAAAGGCTTCCCGGGTGGATTCGTCATCGTCGCTGAACTCGTCGCCTTCACTTTCCACGTCAGACTCATGTACGCTTGTCAATCCAGCTGCACCTCGCCCTTTGGATCTGATGAGATCCATGATCTTGGTCGCCTCGTTTAAATAATCCTGAGTGGTGATAGATCCTTTTCGTGAGGTATCGCTAGTCCCAGTAATCTTCACTAGTGGAACGTCACCATCAAGGGAGAAGGAATCAGAATAATCGTTATTGTCGAAATTGGATTCGGAGAAGTCTCTGTGCGGCGCAACGTGGCTTTCCCCGTCGGTTCGTATTTGGCTTGGTGTGGGTGTTCGAGGTCGCTGCATCGATTGAGAAAGGCCCGGTGGAGCAAGATAGTCACTATTTTCGAGCTGTACACCATGTTGCATAAGACTCCGTTGCAATAGTGACATGCTGTCACCGTATTTCTGAGGCGAACCACCGTTGGCACTGTGATAGGGCTCGGCACTGTTGTTTCTCATAATTGTTCGGCGCCGTTTGGGGGTGGGGTCCATGCCGGGGGCCCGGGGTACTCGCTTGACATCAGGGGCCATATTTTCCTTGTTATTTGGACGAGTTCCGTGCCGCATATCATCAAAGAAATCTTGGCGCATCCAGGCAGACGGTTTCCTCGTGAATCCCGAACTTGCTGATCTGCTGTAATGATACAACCCTTGCTGTGAGGGGCCACGGAGATATTTCTGCCGGGTTGACGATCGCTTGCGTGAAGACGGGCGGGACCCAAACCCTCCCGCCTCATCGTACATCAATTTGTGCTCGTAAGGGCTGGTATCTGAGAAATCAAATTTATCCAACTCGCCACCCCCAAACTGGCTGATCCGGTGTACAGCATTACGAGATCCGAGGCGTTCGTTTCGCCTAGGGGAGATCTCCTGCAATGGTTCATGTCTCGCATTTAAAAGGCTGCGGTTTTCGCCTTTTCTTCGCGCTTCTTCTGAGGGCGAAGGGGGCTCCTCTCCTTCTGACGTGTCGCTGAAATTGTCTTCAAACTGACTCATGCGCCGGAGAAGTCTGTTGTTAGTAAACGTGTCATGGTCACCAAATAGCTTCAATGGACTTCCTGATGACGGCATCTTGGCCTCATTCTCTGCTCCAGCCGTGGATGGCCGAACATGAGACGAGGAAGGACGCGGTAGACCAGGTGACGCGGTCTTATGGGGGTTAAACAAGGGGGAGCTTCGGATTTTAGAATTGGCGAGAGTTGTGGGGGACAAACGGTGCGAAGGAAAGGGCGAAGGGGAAAATCGCCGAGGGAAGGAGCGGTTCCCTCGCCGACTGTTGAAGTCCACCGTCCCCATAGACAAATCCTGAGGTAGAGAATGACTGGTCGCGTCCAGCAAGCTGTCTTCTCGTGG